GACGAATTCTACCACTAGACCAATGATGCTAGTTGGTGTCATATGTCCTCTACTTTGGTCTTATAAACTAGTGATATTGTGTTGAATCTTGTTCAAGATTTGCTAGTTATCAACCAGTCGTTCTTAAATAATGAATACAGCACGAAATGTAAGATGAATACTAAGTCTAGTCTAGTCAAGTCTAGTAAAAGTAAAGTAAAGTAATAAATCACCAGAAAAGTAAGTAAATAGATAGTTATTTAAGTAAAGTTCACATTAAAAAAAGTATTTTTGCCCGTTTTCCCATATCCCATATCCCATTTCCTAATCCCCTTCTCTCCTTTTTTCGTCTCCTTTTCTTTTCGAATCTTCAGTTTGTATGCGCATGGCGTATGCATGTGTAGGCTATGCAAGCATGTATGTATGTACAGTCCACTTCATCTCTCCATCTCTCCTGTCCCCAACCAACTACTCCGTAGTTAATATAGAAAGAGATCCGGTTCACCCACTGTAACCACACCACTATCCCACTCACCACCCTAACGGTCTCAAACAATCTTCTATCATACAGGTCCGCCCCCAGCAAGTTTACTCCGTATCAGGTTCTATATCACTAATCTCATCGAATCCCTCGTCCATGGCGTCCGGGTTCAGATTCGCCACGTCGGGATCGATACCATCTTTATATTTGTCTTGGGCATGCGAAACGGTGCGCCAGCCGGCGGGATGCGACGGGTCTTTGATGTATTGGGACATGGGGAACTGGGGGTACAGTTAGACACAAATCAAGAAGGAAGAAAAAGCCCAAGGAGGACTTACATAATGATCGTTCTTCTTCATAGTCACCACCCACGGCACATTGTCAAAAGTGACGGCACGCAGACGGAAGTAGGTGTTATCCGGGATTTTGTGGACCTCTTTGACGAAGCGATCGAGGTTGGGCGTGGAAACGCCGTTGACGGCGGTGATGAAGTTGGTCGGGGAGAGGCCGTATTGGTAGGAGGGAGATCCACGACTCTGGGATGGATTAGTGAGTGATCTTAGATACATGGGAGATTGTTGATACATACCCGGGCGCTCACGTAAACCTCACTATGCAGCTTGGAGATCTGTTGCCGCACGGCGTGATGCGGCTTCTGCAGCACAGCACCGCAGAATACCACCGCTCGATCCGTCTCCAAATCCTCGGTGGGCACCGTCGGCACATGGATGCGCATCTCCTGGCCGTTTCGCACGATCAGAGCCTCCAGGACCTCCTTGTCATACATGATATCCAGTTCCGACACGCGAGTGATCAGCTGGCCGTCCAGGGTGAGGATGACGTCGCCCTCCTGGAAGGAGTCCGTAGACCCGGAGGCGAAGCCGGCTGGCGGGCAGTCGACCTTGCGCACCATGAAGAGCTGATGCCGCGACGGGTTGGCCTGAGTCACCTTCTGGATCCATTCTTCCGACACGCCCATGATGCGCGCCTGGCTCATCTGAACCACGTAGCTCTCCATATTCAGGATCCGCAGCTTCGGCATTTCGCCCTGCTGGATCTTCGAGGTCACTGGCAGCAATGACGGCGTCGCGAACCCGAGATGGTATTCCACATCCTTGTGCGAGGTGGGCGTGCGTTCGCCGAGGTAGTTCAGCCACAGCGCCTGGACGACGCCGTCCTCGCCGATCAGGACGCCGTTGGAGCACTGCCCGCTGAGACCTGTGTCGACCGTGACGGCGTCCAGATTGATGGCGCGGTAGCGCGGTGCCGAGGCGTTGGCCGGAATTGAGACGGTGGTGATATCGGTGACAGCCGTCTTGGCCACGACGATGCGGAAGTTCTGGTTGAATCCGACAAAGATGGTGTCCTGCCCCTGCTTGATGTACTCCGTGCTCAGTTTGGCGCTCTGGATGGGCGCCTGCGCCAGACTCGGGTCATACTGCACGATGGAGTAGTTCTGCAGCGGGTGAAGGAAGACCACCTTGGCATTGACGATGATCGAGTCGGCCACGGTGATGTTGATGTCGCAGAGGTCGTAGGGGACGATGGCGCGCGATACTACTACTAGACCTTTGTCGGCGTCGATGACTAGACCGAATCCCGTCTTCTTGGCCTGCGGGTATCCGTCTAGTTTTAGGGGCATCGTGCACGACACGCGCACAAAGCTGCGCACAATCTCGGCGGCGGCCGGTTGGCTGACGCCGTCGAGCTGGATGAAGTCGGCCTTGCGCGGCACGGGCGGCAGGGCGGCCAAGGGGCCGGCTAGGTCGGAGAAGTCCCAGAGACCGGACTCGTCGTTACGCACCGCCAACCGCATCTTTGGATGCCAGTGGCGGTCGATGTACACGATGCTGGTGCCCCGGGTGTGCAGATCCCGAATGTGGCGATAGGAGATGACCACGCGCGAGCGGTCGGGAATGGTCTTCATGACCTCGACGAACTCGTCCAGGTTGCGAGTGCGCCGCTTGTCGACAGAGTCGATGAGCCATCCCGACAGCGTGTTCTCCAGCTTGAAGGAGCCGGCGGCCTCGCAGACGTACACGCCGCGTGTGGCGATGGCGTAGAGTCGCGCTTGCTGGTACGACAGGTCGTGGAACGTGCCGCCGGCCACGGTGACGAAGCGGTCGGGCGTGATCGCATGCAGGTCGCCAACCTGGCACTCGAGCTCCACATTTTGACCGCCTCTCTGCACGAGCAGACGCACCGACTGCCCGACGCTGGAGTCTAGGATGTCGTCCAACCGGATGAACTGGGTCAGTAGCTCCCCGTTCACCTGCAGGAGCACGTCGCCCTCCTCGAGCTTGCCATCTGCGGGGCCCTCGGGCAGAATGATCTCTGCCACTAGCATGCTCGTCTCCGTCGGCGCTGCCTTGCGCACTGCTGCCTCCCACTCCGAGGTGAGGCCTAGGCGGCGACACTCGTCGAACGGTTTCAGGATCCATTGGGTCTGGATAGTGCCTCGCGTGACGGGCTCGCCGCGGCGGATGCATTCCAGCGCGCGCCGCGGCCGATCCAACGGCAGGAAGTAGTCGGTCGCCGCCCCGTCTGCACGACCACCAGCCTGCAAGGCGATCGCGTTGCCGTCGATGTTGACGACTGGACTGCCGGAACTGCCACCGCTGGCCGCCGCCGCCGCCTGGATGTAGTTGGTATTAAAGTCACTGTAGCCGTCGCCGTATTCGGGGGCGTTGCGGTCCAGTCGACTGATGACGCCGGACAGGATACTCAGTTTTTCACCGGCATCGTTACCCACGACGCGGATCTCCGAACCCACACGAGCGCCGTCCGGTTGCAGTTTCAGCTCCGTTAATTTCATGTATTTGATCGCCTTGGGGTCGAATTTCAGCAGACCAAAGTCGTGTACAGGATCCCGGTAGACGGGACGAACGTCGCACTACACAATAAGAAAAAGCACTTAGCACAGGAGCATTCCAGGAAAATCAATGACATAACGGATAGTACTCACTTCCTCATGATTATCAAAGATACAATACCCCCAGAAAGGCCCCGGACAGACAACATGTCGATTGGTTAGGATATACCCCCTTTCGGCATCGACCACGAAGCCCGTGGCCTGGCTACTCATTGACAGTTCCGTATCAAAGGAACACGTCTGACAGAAGTGAATCGAAACCACACTCTTGACAACCTCCTCGATGGTCGCCTGCCATTCGGGCGAATCAGCCTGGGCGGGACCAATGGCCAAGACGCGACCGGCATCCTCCTCGTCCTGGACGTCGTAGACGGTGCCGTTGGCCGGGGTCGTGTCGCCGGGGGTTAGAGTCGAGTTTTCGGGCTTGAGGTGTTTGGACGGACGGTCTGCGGAGGCAGCGATGGCACTGCGTTTGCGCTTGGCGCCGGCATCCCCGTTTAGATCCATGGCGTATGAGAGCGACGACAATAAATGACGAGGACTTGAGCGCGGTCGGATCGAGGAGACAAGGGAAGAGAGCGATCGGATGGATGTACAATTGAAGCTGATGGAGGCCGATAAGCACCGGGGATTCCTGGCGAGCGGATTCAACGGTGACAGACGGGGATTTGGGGGTGCGGGAAATCCGATGGGTCTAGAAGGAGGAGGCGATCGCGGTGGGAGGGTGACACAAGAACTCGTAGTCTCCGCAGTGAAGGGGGGAAGGGCAGACGACGAGGCTATCGGGGTTGGCGCCGCGGGAGAAGATGAAGAAGCGGCAACGGTGACGGCAACGGTTGAAGTAGTAGAAGTAGTAGAAGTAGAAGTAGTAGTGGTAGTGGTGGTCGTAGCGACGGTCAAGCTCCTTCTGCACCAAGGAAGCCAGACAAAAGACATCCACGAGACCCCCCAAACCGATGGAAAAGAGGAGAAGGTGGGGAAGAGGAGGTTGGAAGGGGAAGGGGAAGCAGAAGAAGTGAGGAAGAAACAAGAAAAAAAAAAGGAAAAAGGAAAATGAGGTCAGGCGAATTGAGCTGCGGGAGAGTCCCGTGATTGGACCGTCGCCCTCCCTCCGCCTTTCTGGCCGGTGTCCAGATGACCGGCGATTATTGATTGCTACGTCTTACAGACTAGAGAATGGTTTGCAATATAGATGAGTCTGGGATGAGGGTGCTCGACACTCGTACACTTATTTTACACGCACAGTCCGTCTCTTTGCCTCATGACTCCGCCTCGAGTCACCCTTCTTGATCCTATTCCCCCCCCGTCTGAGGACCCCCGAGGACGAAGTCTCCACCGGTCCTTCCCTGCCATCATCGATACATTCATTCCCTGTGCGGTTATGATAGTTCCGAAGGGAGATTGAGGATATATCTTTCTTCATGCTTATGTCCATGAGTGTGACATGTAACTGTGCAAGGGTCTTCCACGCGGGAGATTTGAAGGAAATGTTCAACCGACATTCTCTCTCTCTGCGTTGCCGACGGGGAAGCAGTTCAAAGAGAAACGTCCCCTTGATAGATGCCATTGTTTGGTTCTCGTCCCGTCGAAGAAATCCCCTTTCTAAGCCGCCATCGGATGAAAACGCGACTTCTCTGAAATCCAGCCTGAAGCTCTCGGATTCACCTTTCAGACAACGGAGTCCGTGGCGGGCGATGGGCTGGGCTTGCCGTTGCCTTGCGGTGGCTGCGGACTTTGTTGGGGCGTGCCGTGCGCCGTGTGAGGGAATAGTTCGCTGAGCCTGTTATAGATGTCGTTCATGGACGACATGTGCGGAGGCGGCGTCATGATGCCCGGGTTGGGTGGAGCCACGCCGCCGGATTTCTTCGCCCGGTCGGCCACGGTCGCTAGGTACGCCAGATTGGCCTGTAGCCGCCGCATGCACTCAAGGTATTCGGGGCTCGGTTTTTGAGCCGGCCCCTTGGTCGCGTCGGCGGCCTGCTCCGACGTGGGCGACGGGTTGCCGTCCGGTCCCCCGGGCTGGCTGGCGGGCGGACCTCCCGCCTTACCGGCGGCTTGCAGATTCACGACTTCTTGCAAGAGCATCGAATTGATATCGAGGAGAGCGGCGACGCGAGCCTTCTCGCGTGCCGACGCGGCGGGGGTCGGGGACTGAGCGCTGGCGACGGCCCCTTGGGAGCCTTGCGAGGGCGGTTGCGATGGAGTTTGTTGTTGTTGTGGTTGTTGTTGTTGTTGTTGTTGCGGGACGGGTCTTTGTTGCTGCGCGATTGCCATGCTGTTTGCCGACACGGAGGCCATGTTCTGAGAATAGGATTGCGCAGCGGACGAAGGAAGACTGGCAGCGGAGGTGGTCTGCGGAAGGAACTGGCCCATGGAGGTCGGGACAGGTGGCTGGGCGAATGGAGGCGCTGAGAAGTTGGCGTGGGGTCCTGTTCGCGCATCCCGTTAGCGGCGATTCACCGACCAAGAGTGACCCTCGACGTCAGAGGTGCCTGGCTTCACCGGGACCTGACTAGGTGTATGCGAGGATGATCTAATCGGGCTGGGCAGAGACTGGGAAGATTTTCCGATGCAAACGCGCAGTGCGAGCTCGACTTTGCGAGGGTTGGGGGAATGGCGGACAGGAGGTGACCGTCATGACGCAACAACAAAGAGCGAAAAAACAAGAAACGAGGAGGACCAAACAAGGTCAAACAATGAATAGCAATCGAGTAAGAAGAAAAAAAAAATCAATTAAAAAAAGGAAAGAAAGAAAGAAAGAAAGAAAGAAAGACGATCGATCTGACATACCGGACGAATGTTGGGGAAAGCCGGCGGGCATGACCGCTCCACCGGGACCGGGTTGCAGAGGCACACCGAGGGTAGACTGCTGGGATTGGTGCGGTAGATGGGCAGGCGTCTTCTGCTGGGGAAAGGAGGGCATTGCGTTCGAGTAGTAAGGGAATGGCTGACCGGGTGGACTCTGCGAAGTGACGGGATAAGGGGGTTGCGGGTGCAGAGGATAGCCGGGGTTGTTGGGGTCCATCCTGCTGCCCAGATGCTTCGTCGGGAGGGTGTCTGGATGGCCGGTGAAGACTCGAGATGAATAATAATGATAATCAAAATGAGATAATCGTAATCAACACAAAAATGACAATGGCCGATCGTGGTAGGATTATAATTTTAATTTAGTCAAGCACGGACGGAAGGGCAGGAATGGGCCGCAGCGAAATGTTCTGGAAGGGTTGTCCGAGTGGATAAACCATGTAAGAGAAAATCAAATGAAAAAATAAGTAATAATAATAATACAAGCCCGGAGTAAATATAAAAAAAGAAAATAAAAAGGTGTAACAAGGGACACCACAATAGAAAAAAAGGTAAAAAAAGAATGGAGGGCCAACGAGTGACAGTGATTGGCCGAGGGAGGTGGCCACAGGGAGAGAGATCGCGTGAAAAGGAGACGGAGAAGGCGAGAGGAAAGAGACTCAAGAGCCAAGCACCGGCCGGAGCGATCTGGAGCGAGGCGAGTACGGAGTAGTGTAGGATGTAATCTCCAGGGAAGCGAAGGAGAGTCGCGAGACAGACGGATCGACTGGCAGACGAGAGGAAAGCGAGGAAGAAGATCCTCGGGCAGAAAGTCTCGAGGCGGTGTGGAGTTCTTACAGAGGACTCCGTTACTTCCTCAGTGTTAGTTACTCCGTAGTGTTTACACTTTCATCTCTCTTGAAACAGCGGTCTCTTCTCAATCCTCGAACAAAAGTACAACCTGATTAATATTGAATTAACCTCATCCATCCACTCGACTCCGTACGGCTCACAATATCCGTTGGATACATCACACCTCCTACCGCGCTTTGATAATGGCGTCGGACCCGAGGTCAACCGACAGACTGCCTCAGATCCACCGACGAGGTGTAGTCCTGTAGGAATCGTCCCAGCCTCCATGATGGATGAACTATGCACTGTACTCCGTACTCCGTGACAATGGAAAGGCAACCCCTAGGAGTTGCCTCGATTGACTTTGCAGATCTCCCGTCGGTTTCTCCTCCGGCTCAGGGGTGCGCGCATTGCATTGCCATTATTCGGGATTGCATATCCTTGGCTTGCTTGGGGCTTGGTTTGGGGCAGGCAGGCTCAAGAAGATCGCTATACATTCAACTAAGACCAAGACTACTCCGTACTCCGTCCGTCAGTACGTCTGCTCTTCTGCCCTGCCCCCAGTCCTAAGGCTACTACCTCTAGTGGCCGGGGATGGGATCTACATGCATACATACACATACATATATGTCTCGATCTGCTTGATCTGCTTAACCGAACGCGGACGAACCTAGTTATTCGCAATAGTCAAGAGTTAAAAAGCCATGGTCGGGCTGGAGCTTATCCTCCGGCGTCATCCCTCGCCCTGGCTCCCATGACAGGACGGAGTACGGGAATACATCCCTTGCCTACTATCAGCCTATCTTTGACGCAAGTCTGTCAGTGTCACTTTAGTTAGTTATACTCATGTGTAAATTCTGTCATCTACACTTTCGTTCATCCTGATCAACTGACAAGTATGAGCTAACACGAGAAGGATGACGATAGCTGACTAGGAACCCGACAGCCAGGGATAGGGTGACTATGCTTAACTTTATACCGTTTTTTCTTTTACAAACTCTGTACGACTCTTTAGTTACTCTGTACGAAGTAGTCATTGTATACCAATGACATACTCTTAACCAACATCCCGTAGACAACATCCTACCATAACATACTCCCCTTAACCCATACCCAACAAGCTAGCTACATGCCTTAATACTTCCTAGCCAACTCCGTAAGATATCTCGCCCACAAGGCAACCCCAAACCCACCCGAATCAAAAGTGGACACTAGACACCAAGGCAATATCTACTACGTATGTACCTCCGATCGGGTGATCTACCTACCTACCTACCTGTGCCTACCTCAGATCCACTCACCTCACCTCAACCCAACCGCCAATTCTACAATTACTCAACTTCAGCCAGCCACGGGTTCCTTCCACGGGGAGGACGAGACACCCAGTATGGAATAACTACGAAAGACCTACTGAGTTCATCCAAGATCAAAGTTTGCCTTCCTATAACTAGTTAATTATAGATAGTTATCCTACCTACGGAGTACCACGGAGCAGTTACCTATACCAAGTTTCTTATCTATGAACTAGTTACGGAGTAGCTATGTTATACATGCACTTTTCATAAGAACGTTAATAAGTAGTAGATCGTAGATAATGCCTTAGACGGTAGATATAGTTAACTATGGACTGTAGAGCTGTCTACGGTGTATGTAGGTAGGTAGGTATCTGTATCCCATAGCTAAGCCTATATTACCCTACCTAAGATAGTCAATCCGTAGATCCCAAAGGCCTGATTAACCACCTACTCCATACCTACTCCATACCTACTCCTACCCTCCTAGGTATGTAGGCATCCGTCCTTCTACCAATATCCTTCGACACACACACACACACACACACACACTCTCTCTCTCTCTCCTACCATATTCCCACCACCAATCTCAACTCTCAAGCCTATTCCATGCTATCTATAGAAGATAATTAGTCCAACACTCTAACCATCCCTACCTCATAAGTATAGTCCACTCAAATCAAACCAACTCAACTCAATTCCATTCCCTCCAACCCACCCCAACCCCAGCCCAGTCCATCCCAGTCCATCCCAGTCCCAGCCCAAACCAAACAAAACCAACCCAAACCCAAACCCAAATCCCAGTACCAATAGCATGGATCCCGGCAGCCACATCCCATCCTTTCCCATCCTTTCCACACCGGAAACAGTCTCCGAACGAAGGTACCGCTCGACGGGAGCCTCCGCCACGATGATCAGTCATATTTTCGATTTGAGAGTGGTAGTTATGCAATATTGCAATCGTTGCTCCATCCGATTCCTATGTACATGAATGTTACATACATCGTCTGGTCGGCACTGACACATCATGTTTAGGAAATGGTTGGTGGGGACGCAAATGGAAATACATTTTATTTTCATTTTTAATTATTATGATTATGATTATTTTGGTTTTTGGGGAGGATATTACAAATTTTTTGAGTTTGGACCTTTTTTCTCTCTCTATGTATTATTTTTTGTTTTCATTTGTTTTTTCTCTGTACATTTTCGTTCTGTTCTGTTCTGTTCTTTCTTTCTTTCTTTCTTTCTTTTTTTTTTTTTTTTCCCTTCCCCTCTCACCAAGACGTTGTCACTAACCGCGCCATCGGGGGCAGTCAAAAAAGATCCCTGCAAAAATAGAACAATACGAGGGGTTTATGATTCGCCCCGCGCTAACGGCGGACAGGATATTATGCCAGAAACCCAGTAGTAGTTAGTACCTACAAGTCAACCCGGGGCTTGGGGGCAGCGAGAATGACCGACCCCATCTGCAGGTGGCCTGGAAACCCATTCGCTGGACGATCAGCGGCATTGAAACCCTGTTCGGCTACTGCAATCAACGGATTTCCTGCGTGGAACAGGCGGAAAGACATCAATTATCGGGCTGTGATTCATCATCTGGAGAAAACGCACCGGTGGAGTCAACGGAGCATCAATGTCCACGGACTCACCACCGCGTCTGTAGGCGCAATAAAAATCGTAATTTCTCCGGAAGCTCCGCGTTATGGGAAGGGAAGTCACTGGAGTCTTCGATCAGTGTGGCGAGGTTTCAGTATAATGAAGTAGGAAACTGCTGCGAGAGAGAGGCAAAAAATAAAAACGAATAAATAAAAAAGAGAGCAAAAAAAGGCAAGAAGAAAAAAAAAAAAAAAAAAAAAAAACAAGACAAAGCCGTGGCAATCATCCAACTTCACTCCCTCCCATAGATATCCCATCCCAATCAAGACCACAAGCTCAAGCTCAGGTTAGCCCCTTGGGTCGAGAGTCTAGACTTTACGAGTCAGTGATCGGCTCTTGACGTTCGGCCATGTGGATAACAGCTGCAATAAGTTGAGTTGTTCGTTCATCAGTTAATAAAATAGAACCGAATATGAAGTTAGCACTAGCTCCCTAAGTCATACCTGTCCGGTTCGCAACCGTTTCCCGACCTCACCAGCAGCTTGTCCCTGTACTTTCTGTCCTTTCTTTTTCGGCCGCGATTTTTCTGATTCGCACATCTCCGTCCTGGGCAGGCCAGTTTTGGCAACCGAACGGACCGGACCACCTACGTCAATTGCACTTTAGCCATTACATACATGCTTTTCTGCACTGGCTGTGGGTGTCAGGTGGGACACGTATAGGCGGGTGGATTATTGTCTGTCTCCTTTCTGTCAGCAAAAGGCGCCGATTTATCTGTTCCGGAATTGGTTGGTATTAACTGTATTCGGAAGCTGTTAGCATTACCCCCATATGGTTGCGAAAGGTGCATGACATCTATCAATGCCTGACACCCAATGTATCAGGCAAGGAGGCCGCGGAAGAGTGTCGGGAGTGGGAGAAAATTGTGGAAAGATCGAGGAAAAAAGAAAGAAAGCAAAAAAAGGAAAAATCCTAGAGAAGGAATTGGGACTCATAGACCGAGCTGTACCGTGATGGTGGATAGTCTACCCCACAATCCGTCTGATCATGTCCAAACCTCACCTAATCGCGGTTCTCCTTTCGAGATTCCCATGCACTTGCACCATATCACATGCCAGATTGCTTGACTGAGCCCTCCTGAGGGCTGGAGATGAGCGTTTGAGGCGCAACATGCTATTCTGAGAACAGCATTGGCCACCAAGTTGGTGAAGGTGCAGATAAAACAATAGGCATTGACGGTTTGAAACGTAAAGGAAACTACACACTCCCAAGCATGTATCATGCAGGTGTGATCCCAATACGACCAGGTCCTGCGTTTCCGTTGTCAAGGCAGCTGATCATTGGAGGCGATAATGATGCAGAAGGGCATTAGTTTGTACGCCCAATGCATCCGAGCGGATGGGGAGTCCCGTCAAATGTTGTGCCACATAGGGCCACGCACATTAGTGACACAGCTTTGGGCTGATCCATTTTTTTTTCTTGTCTACCGTTCATTACGGTG